ATTTATTTCTACTATTATAAATAAACCTATGTAAATATCTTTTTTCTTTTTTTTCCTAGTATTTTATTCTTAGAATCAAAATTCTAAGCAACAAATTCTATGAATCAAAATCACTCCCAACAAGGGACATGAGATTTTCTTTTTGTGGTGCTGGGGTCTGAACCAGGGGCTCAGGCATGCTAGGCAAGGGCTCTACCACTGAGTCACCCTCAGCCCAGATGTAGACCTTTTAAGGTTCTGTTTTTGTGGGGGGTGGGGGACAAGGGAAGGGGCTACCAGGGATTGAAATCAGGGGCACTTGACCACTGAGCCACATCCCCAGCCCTATTTTGTATTTTATTTAGCGACAGGGTCTCACCGAGTTGCTTATCGACTCACCATTGCTGAGGCTGGCTTTGAATTTGCAATCGTCCCGCCTCAGCCTTTTGAGCCAAAGGGGGTTACAGGTGTGCGCCAAGATGCTTGGCCATTTTAAAGCTCTTAAAAAATATGGGGAAAATGCTTTCCTAAAGAGCTGAACTCATGTTCACAGTCATTAGTAATCAGAATGCCCATTTCACATAGCCTCCCCAGTACTAGGTTTTATTTTTTCAAATCATTGGTAATTATTGCTTTAACTCTGTATTTCTTTTATTACCAGTAGTTGAACATTTCTTTATATCTGTGCATCAGTTTCATTTCTTCTTCTGACGTCATCTTGAAAATTAAGTTAAGAACTGTTCTAAACCTCAACTGATACTATAAATGCATTTAAAATATGAGTGTTTTCTTAATAGCAGTCAACTTAATATTAAATWCAGCATAAGTATAAAAAACTAGAAGTATAATTTAATTATTTTTATTATAAAATAGAAGTACATCCTTCTATTAGTTTTTTAAATGCATGGAATAATCTTTTACTTCTTTTCATTTTTGCTGACACATTTTCTGGACTGAATTTAACTGGTTTGGAAAAGCTGGTTACTATCAATCATTCCTTTTGATAACTAAATATACAGATAGAGAAAATACTTCTCAGGCATCACAGAAGGATATAATACGGGTTTTCTAACAATAAAGAAGCCATCCGGGCTTCTTTAATCATGGGACGGGCCATCAGTGTTCGCCGCCTCCAGTAATGCTAGGAAAGAGAAAAGGACATGCTTTGAGAACCCAGCGGCCCCTCTGCTAAGGAGACTATGTCAACAAAGTATCTAGGGATTAAAGTGTCACAGTGAGGTCTTACATGATCTCCGGTTCCAGCAAGGTGAATGCACACTGGTCTGTATTTGCTGTTCCACTCCTTAGGCACAATAAATTGGAACCTATTTAAAAAGAAAAAATGAAATTCTCTTCAAGAGGTTTTCAGTTCTTAAAATATTTGTCAGTAAATTATTTGGCAGAAAACGTCATTTAGAACTTGACATTCAATTTGTAATTGACTAACCAGTATGTTCAAAAGCTACAAAACAATTGTTAAGTTTACTTTGTTAGGATATTAAAATATTCAATACAATATAAACAGAATTTATTGTAATTATTCTTTACCTAGGTCAATACCACAACTTTGTAATACAACATCAACATATGATGATCTTAAAATACAATGATTAGACAGGTATAGTGAGTGACACATGCCTAAAATTCCAGTGATTTGAGACTCTGAGGCAGAGGATCGAAAGTTCCAGGCCAGTCTTGGCAACTCAGCAAGTCCCTAATAGATACCTCGTGATAACTGTCTCAGTGTTCAAAATAAAAACTAAAAGGGCTGGGATGTGGCTTAAGGGTAAAGTGCYCCTGGGTTTGATCTTCAATATTGGGGGTGGAATAGGGGATAAAGTCTTTAGGTATAGCTCTGCTTGGCTGTGCTGTTGATGTATCAATAAAATAGWTTTTGTTGTTGTTGTTATATTCTATTGTTTTTTTTTTGTTTCGTTTTTATTTTTTTTTACCTTGTAGTACATCATAGGATCTTGTTTATTAAAATTTTGATACTGGGAGGTRAAGCCAATCCATGCCAGAAAAAACAAACATAGTTTTCTGTTTGTCTTTCTCTTATTTAGTGTGTTTTTTTTCCCCCTATATGCCATCTCTTTTATCTTACTGTGGTAAGATATATACATAAGAAATTTACCATTTTAATTATATAAGTCAATGGCACGAAGTACATTTGCATTGTTGTGCCATCATCACTATAATTCATCTTCAGGAATTTTTCATCTTCCCAAACTGATTTACTTTTCTTTTTAAGATCATCATGGGCCAGGCACGTTGGCACGCGTGACTGTAATCCGAAGCTACTCAGGAGGCTGAAGTAGGAAGGTCCCAAGTCTGAGGTCATTCTCAGCAACTTAATGAGACTCTGCTCAAAATAGAGATAATCTAGAAAAAGGCTGGGGATGTAGCTCAGAGGCAGAATGCTTCTGGGCTGCTATTATACTAAAATATTGTACTATAAAAGCTCAAGGTCTAACTTGAGGTGGCTGCGTTATCAAGCAACAGAAAACCCCAATTCTGAGCTTCTTTGTTTAAAAAGAGGGAACATTAATAGTTTTCTATTGTGAATAAACTGTTGAGCAGAACATGGATACACTTAAGGCTGGTTCAATGATGATTTTGTGCCAACAGGAACACTTACTTTTGAATCTCATAATCATAACTCTGCTTCACAGTGCATACTCAGCACTATCCTATTTTCTTATATTTAAAAAAAATTTGGGGTGGAAATGAAAACATTTAAGAATTTCTTCAGTAGAAGGGCATGGTGGTGCATTCCTAGAATCCCAGAACTTGGGGAGGCTAAGGCAAGAGGACTGTGGGTAAGACTAACCTGGGCAGGTTATAGGGATCATATCTCAAAATTAAAAAACAAGTAMTGTGGATGTAGCCCAGTGATAGAGCACTTGCCTATCATGCATGTGCAAGGGCCTGGGTTTGATCCCCATTACCACACACACACACAATTTTTTTTTTTTCCCAGTAGAAAGCAGGGCATCTCTGTTACTATTTGCATGTACTTTCCTTTTGTCTTATGGCAAAGTCTGTAGTGATTTCATTACTGGAGAACAGCTTGAAATTAATAGGAATCTTTTGTTATAGTACTAACTGACCACTGATCTTACAAAGGATCATTATCAGTCTGTCTGCTCAGACTGTTTGAACCAGATACAGGCCAAATTTGGGCAATAAGATTTGCTCTTTTGGTAATGCAGAAACTGGGATGGATTGCAGTTAGATTCCATTGAGCATCTGGATATGGAGACTGTATGGGCAGTGGTAGCTGTTTTTTCAGCTATATGAGAAATGAGAAGGGCATACAGACGTGGCACATAAAGCGGAAATGCGAATATAAAATAGGAAAGGTAAAGTAAGGAGACCGTTTCCTTGGATTATTCTCCTCACCCCCACTGGGGAATAAGCCAGAGGTGCTCTATTACTGGGCTACATTCCCAACCCTTTTAACATTTTCTTTTTTTTTTNACTAACCTGGGCAGGTTATAGGGATCATATCTCAAAATTAAAAAACAAGTAATGTGGATGTAGCCCAGTGATAGAGCACTTGCCTATCATGCATGTGCAAGGGCCTGGGTTTGATCCCCATTACCACACACACACACAATTTTTTTTTTTTTTTCCAGTAGAAAGCAGGGCATCTCTGTTACTATTTGCATGTACTTTCCTTTTGTCTTATGGCAAAGTCTGTAGTGATTTCATTACTGGAGAACAGCTTGAAATTAATAGGAATCTTTTGTTATAGTACTAACTGACCACTGATCTTACAAAGGATCATTATCAGTCTGTCTGCTCAGACTGTTTGAACCAGATACAGGCCAAATTTGGGCAATAAGATTTGCTCTTTTGGTAATGCAGAAAYTGGGATGGATTGCAGTTAGATTCCATTGAGCATCTGGATATGGAGACTGTATGGGCAGTGGTAGCTGTTTTTTCAGCTATATGAGAAATGAGAAGGGCATACAGACGTGGCACATAAAGCGGAAATGCGAATATAAAATAGGAAAGGTAAAGTAAGGAGACCGTTTCCTTGGATTATTCTCCTCACCCCCACTGGGGAATAAGCCAGAGGTGCTCTATTACTGGGCTACATTCCCAACCCTTTTAACATTTTCTTTTTTTTTTAAAGTTTATATTTTTAATATTTATTTATTTGTTTTTAGTTGTAGGTAGACATGATACCTTTATTTTTACTTTTTTAAAAAAATATGATGCCGAGGATAGAACCCAATGCCTCACACAAGCAAGTGTTCCACCTCTGAGCCACATCCCCAGCCCTTAACATTTTCTTTTGAGACAGGGTCTTGCTAGGTTGCCCAGGCTGGCCTCCAACTTGCAATCCTCCTGTCTCAGCCTTCAGAGTAGCTGGGATTTTCGGTTGTGTGCCACAGCGCCTAGCCTGGACATATACAATATTTAATAAGATAAACAGCTGAACATACATCTATTGAATAAGCCTATAATTTTTTTTAATATTTATTTTTTATTTATTTATTTTTTTTAATGAATAAGCCTATATATTAAAGTGAGTTTAAAGGCTTTCAATCTAAGAACTAGAGGAGCAGCCCAGAAGAGACACAGGAGATAGGTATGGTAGAGGCAGAAGCTATTTTTGTTTCGTAGGGCTACAAGAGACTCTAAAAACTGAGATTGGGGAATGGATAGCGAGGCAGAAATCAGGGTGACTAAATAAAAGACTTATTTACATATGGCATGGTGTTACCTRCAACTTGAAACTAGAGGACTGTCCTCTAAGAAAACTCAAGTCTCTTAGGGAAAGTCCAGGCTCCTAGAATGGACATTTGTGTCCCCAAATAAATCTTCCTTACTCAAGATACTGCAGGGGAGATACCTCTTCTGCCTCTTTTCAACCTATAGAGAGTAAAAGTAAAGTCTACCAGGTGACATACATTTCTTAGTTACTACAAACCTTAGGTCAACACCACTATTCAAATACAGTGATGTACTTTATGAATGCATAACTGAATTTTCTTCTTTTCTGTAGACATCAATATACACGATAGTCCTAAAATAATGTGGGTAGCTGGTGCAGTGATGCACACCTGGATTCCTGCTACACAGTAGGCTGAGACAGGAGGTTTGCAAGTTTGAGGCCAGTCTGGGCAATTGAACTAGACTCTCTTTCAAAAAAAAAAAAAAAAAAAAAGGGCAGCTAGAGATGTGGTTCAGAGGTGGAGCCCTCCTGGATCTAGTCCTGATACCGGCTAAAACAAAACACAAAATCCTTGAAACTTTACATTTTGGGGAAACCCAAGCCAAATATCTATATTAAGCAATTCAATTCTCCACTCATAAGTATTAATGAACAACTAAGGGTCTCACATTTAAAGAAAAAGGGTGGGGGTGGAGATGGACAAATAAAACAACTGASAGTTGAATTCATAACAGAAATAATCAGAAAAAAATTAACATTCTATTACGGTGATAGTTGTACCACTGGGTAAAGTCACTAAAARTTACTGAATTGTACACTTGAAATGGGTGGATTTCATTAGTAAAATATGCCTCAATAAAACTGTTTAGCCAGACATGGTGGGTGGCACATGCATGTAATCCCAGCAGCTCAGGAGGCTGAGGCAGGAGGATCACATGTTCAAAGCCAGCCTCAGCAACTTAGTGAGGCCCTAAGCAA